CACATCTGTCATCTGGAAACAAAACCCAGACATCAAGACATCTGAAGAGACAAGTCAGCTGACACCCTCTCGCCTGTGAGCCTAAGAAGGGTGGCTCCAAGTTGGCGTCTGTCCGTTGCACTGGCTGCAGACAAATGCTGGCTCGCCTGGGGAACGAGAGGGGTCCGTTAATAAACCCATCACGTCAGGTGACTGCCTTTGTCGGATCATCAGGGTGACATGATCGAGGTCTCGAGAGATGTTGTGTCAGGCGTCAGACTCGGATAGGGGTTCATGATGTTGGTAATTGACGGCTTAGCCGTATGCTGCCGCAACAGATAGCTAGATCGTTTATCTGTCGGGCAACCCATGCCATCGGCAAGAAAGTGACGGGGCGGCCACGTCTGAGACAACAAGCAGCACGGGGTGGGCGTGGCGACCCGAGACCTGCGTCCCAGTAGGCTCCCGAGGTTCTGCTGACCCCGTGATTGAAGGCACTTTCGAGCGACGCTGTAGCTGGCGCCTGGAATGGTATGGCCTGGCGTGGTCTCGCCGACGCGTGGGAGAGGGGCACGGTGCATGGCGCATGGCGCATGGCTGTCGTGCGCTCTGCCTTGCATGCTGGGGCTCAGGGACTCCGAACAAGTGAGATCAGGTAGTTTCGTCCCATCATTTGGGACGGGCAAAGGTCATCCCTCACCGCCTGTTGGCTTCGACTTGGCCCAATGTTCCCACTTTACACACGCTGCTACGTCAGGAGTGGCAAGCAGAGGCAACAGAGTCGGAGGAGCGACCAAGGGGTGGCCGCATATGTGGCGGCCAAGTGCCGGGCTGTTGTCAGGCCAAGTCGAGGCATCGACGTAGAAGTGAATTGGGCCGCGGGCATGATGGTCCTTGGGCAACATCAGTTGATCGGGCACCACGGCTGGAAAGCGGAAGATACGAAGTGGTTGACTGAAGCATATGAGGACAAATTTTCAGCTGAAGCTAGAAACGAGGCGGTTCCTTCGTCTTGCGCTGGCCTGGATGCGCTGGCAGGTTTGGCAAAGGCCAATGTGGGTGTTGGTGGTGTCGAAGTGAGGTGAAGCTGATGGTTGTCATGACCATGTTGACTTTCAAGTGGAGTACATGTACAGTACCTAGGTAGGTAGGTAAGCTAGGTAGGGACATACTTGGGTACCTTGCTTGGCCTGGAAGACAGTAGTACCCACCTTGGCAGAGGAAGGGTCCTTGTTGCCCGTGTCTTGGGAAAAGAGGTGGCTGGGGAAGTCGATGCTGGTGGGAGTGGGGTCGGCCAGGTCGGTCCTTCCTTCCCCTGCCCATCGAAACTTGTAGCGCGTCACTTTCGTGTGGCCAGGCGCGTCGAGTCAAGCGACGAGAAGGGCAAGGAGCACCAGTGCCGACTGACATTGCACTGTCCCTGATCATAAACTCGTGTTTCCAGAGGTCCAGTACACCATCGATACCTAAGTAGGTCACCAGGCAGGCCGCCCCGGCGTGTATCCATCCTGTACCTACCTAGGTACCTACCTACTCAGGTGCCTGCCCCGTTGAAGAGCGGCATACCAAGGCGAGATTTTCGAGCACACAACCTTCTCAACAAGGCATCCTCCGGCGACCCGACCATGACATGTTGAGCCCCTTGTCCTGGGTCTTTCTACGATCCATCTGGATGTTTCAAGACACAAGACCAAGACGCACACGAATCCACAGAGGCTGCAGGCCATGAGCTGAAGGTCGCACGGGTTTTGCCGTTGAACGACACCGGTCGAGAACCAGGGCAAGCCCAGTGTCACCTTGTGCTGCAGTCCGAGGCACCTCATCCATAACCAAATGTCCGTTTGTCCATCATTCCTCATCGATCCTTGCTCATGGCACTTGATCCTGCTCGAGAGCCTCGCGAACCAAGACCACTGTATGTCACCAGCTTCGCCCTAGCAGAAGCAACGACGAGACTTCGCTGGTCAAACCGGGTCTGGCTCGATTGGGCGCTGGAGCTGGAACACGGCGCAGGTACCAAACAACCACCACACTCACTGCCAGGCCAGACCAGTGCGCAGCCAGTCTATCCATGGCGGCGGCAGTATCGTCTCATTCATATATGTTGCTTGTTAGCATTTCAAGACACCGTGATGCATCGCTGTGGCTATCACAGCTCCAATGATTGACCTACAACAGCATGTCACACCTCGGTACACCTCTTGTCAGCCGGCCGTCTCCTTCAATCTCCTTTCACGGGACGACAGGATACCCACAAAGCTAAACCCAGGCCAGCGTCAGAATGCACCCTTAACCTTGGATGGTTCGCTCCTCCAGCAGCAGTTCGGCACGGGTCAAACGACCACAGGCCAGAGCCACCCCTGAACCCCCAAATGGACCTGGACCCGGACCAGGTTCAGACCCCGGCCGATGCTTCAATTTAGCGCGTCGTTTCGTTCGGCCGGCCATTCAGCCTGCTGATTGCCGACCATATTCTTGTGCTGCTCACCCTCGCCCTGGAGCTCGAGCTGGTTCCTGTCCTTAGAATCTCTCTCACGAACGAAACAGGACCCTCAACTCTTCTTGGAGAAAGCAACCGTCCATCCCCAGCCACCCCATACTCGTTGACCCGCTGGCGCATCTTAGCGCCAGTAGCCACTCATCCTGAACCTCCCCCTCGGTTCACCGAAGACGTCGCTGACGCCGCGGCCAGCGTCGACACCAACGCTCATTCGACGCGCGCGGGTGCGAGCTTGTTGATTTGCGGACGCACCTGGACGTGGAACCCAACGGCCAGCTCATCGTGCAGCGAAGCTCCGCATCGCCAGCCCATCATCGCTCTCGACCTTTTCTCTCTCGCTGCCTTGACGCCTGGGCTTTACTCTGCCTCTCTGGTGGTTCTTTCGTGGTACCACAGCACAGCGCCCACTTCCTTCTCTGCCGTCATCGCCAGGAGGAGGCAGTAGACGGCGCAAACCCGGCTTTTGTTGACCAGCATGGCGATGCGTCTCTGACCACTACGCCAAGGCCCACACTCGTTCATGCACAGTATTGCTACGGCTGGTGCTGCTGCTACTGCTGATACGTACCCTGCGTTCATCTCTGCATAGACCTGCACGTCTCCTTTAGCATACATATACCTACAGGCTACGGCTACTTTGATCTTCCAGGCTTTTGCACTCGCTCTGCTGCTGCTGGTTCTGCCACGCCTGCTCTGGATTGCTTTCTTCCCTTTCATTTATTCCCCAGTCAGCCCTACCCTGTCCAATCTCGCATGGACATGGCCTGTAGGTAGCTAAAGAACTTCGGCACTACAGCATATCGGTGCACACCAGTCTTTGCCTCGACCCTTTCCCCCAGGCCTAGCATCGGTCAGATATCGGTCTCCACTGCTATCGTCTGACAACTATCAACTGCCAGCCAGCCTCCGAGCCACGACCTCATTCTGGACCGGGCTTCCCAGCGAAATCCGCCCCTCACCGCCTCAACCTTGCTCCGGTTGCCTCTGCCCACACTCGTTTTGGCCCTCCTCAGGGATTGCCCCCGTAATCAGCCAATCTTTCCACCATCCAAGCTGCGGATCTCCCGTTTATAAGGGCGACTTTGGTAACGGTTCCCTGGCCAAGCGACACATCGTCGTGCCCTCTACGAACGACCGTCTATCAGTCGTATTCGCCTTGCAGTCGGAGGCTTTGAGTCTACAGCATCGGAAACTCAATTGATTGCTGCGACGAATAGTGCCACAGAGGCTTACTACTTCTTCTTGTCGCTGCTTCCTCCGGCGTTGAGACGGACTCACGGCACTGGCCGGTCTGCCCAATTGATCTTGCCCTACTTTGGCAGTCAGTTTGATGCACATTGGTCCGTCCTCCTCCAATTACCAACCACCAACCTCTTCTGTCTCAAATCACCACCGACCACTCAGACAACAGATGCACCTGTAGTGTACTGTTTTGACATCTGGAACATCGGGAAGTTTTTGTCTCAACCCAAGCAAGACGCTTAGCGAAAGCACAGTGACAGCCTTGGCGATTTATCTCACCTCACCACTCACGCCTGTTCTCATGCATCCCGTCTGCCACGAACGACCTCATTCTCACCTCACGCCCCTCTTCTCCCCATTCTCTTTGGCATTTTTGCCCTGGGACCACTCGTTACACCCAAGCAACACAGCTGCCAGAAAAACCTCAGGCAACGGGGTTTATACTTGTCGGCAGGTAGAGCAAACCTCTGATATCATAACAGTCTTGGGGAATCAATTCGGAAACCCTTTGTATTCGCCCTGACATCACCTGACATATCCACTCGCCCAATTGCCAAGTGGATAGTGTCAAGCATCGAGCCTCTGAGAACTGTTGTGCTCAGTCTGCACCGCCGCCTTGATGGCGTCGTCGCTCGTGGATCAGAAGTTCCTCGGCCGTTTGGCCAGGACGGTTGAAGCAGACAATCCCTTGCTGTCATCCATGCTGCTCAAACTCCTCGGATTGTCCCTCAGCCTCGCAGAACAGTTGGTCACAGCCAAGAAACAGCGCCGCCCAGATCCTGCCAGAAGCCCGAAGTCTTTGGAGCTCATTCTTCATATCATATGGCTTTCACGAGAGGGTCTGGTCATGCTTCAACAGTATGTCATACCCATGGTGGGGAATCATACTGAGTTGAAGGTGCTCGCGTACAACTCCAAGCATCTTTCTATTACATCTTTGTGTTGTTCCACAACAACCCTCCGGTTTCGACGATCGGCATTTCGACACCTGACCCGGCGACCAGCGCAGTACTGCCAGGAACGACACCACCCAGATCCGATAAGGGCAAGGGACTCGCCATGGAGGGTGACTGGAACACCTCGCAAAACTCCATACAGCCCACACATCCTCTCGAAGGGGGGCCAGTCCATCCTCCGCCAGGCTTCGCCCCTCAACACAATGTTGCCGATCTTCCTGCTCGATTTTTGAAGGAGCCCAAAAACTTTCTTCCCGAGGCCCATCAGTACTTCCAACAAGCAATCGGTTTGGCAGACACGTATCTTTGGGGTTCCCATTCATTACGACTGTCCGTCAAGACAGAATACGCTGCATTCCTATGGGACTGCTTGCACGATGGCGAAGGTAGCCGCAAGGTCGCCAAGGACGCTATAGCCGAGGTGTATGAAGCCTCGGAAGGCATGGACGACGACATGTTCACGGACGCTTGCGAACTCGTCACCGTTCTTGGGAGGATGATGAAGCGAGGATTAGGCACAAACAACATGGGTTCCAGCAACACCTTGAGAAGTCAGCGGGATACCGCTAGCCCAGCCCAGCCGTTGTATGCGCAGACGCCTGCCGCAGTGCCGCCCCCGGGGATGGAGAACCCCATCTGAGCACACCATATCAAGGGAAGGATAAGCTCGCGAAGCGTCGGCTCCTCCATTGATGATCTACCACTATCCGGTTCAGTAGAAGACAATCACCAAACAGGCTCCCCAGCGCTCGTCGTATACCGCGACACATCTTGACTGTACATCACTAAATCCAGTACATACATACCAACTTTAATACCAACACCACCCGGACTCAGCAACAGGGACTTGGTCCTCGGCATCACAGGGCGCACAGGGTTCATTGACATAGCTGCATAGCGAGCCGCGCTTTTATTTGGTTGAATGGGATTCTGTAACTATATGTATATTGAACATATTTAAGCTTCTCAAAGCTATATTTGTCTCATTGCTTGCTCAACTCTGCTTGCCAATTGCATGATGTGTCCCGCTTCTTGCGCATCAGGTGCCGGCTTTGTTATGATTCGGAGAGCGTAGTCACCACATGGGCGCTATTTCTCAGACCTTTTCCCAGCCCGACGCGCTGCGATGTTATGTGGATGGGTTTCATCATGAGTACACGGATGTTGCTGGCTTGGCTGGCGTTCTACCCATGCATTTCCCTAGTTGCTCTACTACGAGGTCTTTCAATCTCATGTTTTATTCCATGGTAAGCCTTTGATGAATGTGAGGCGAACCAAAACAACCTAGTTGAGTGGTTCGTCCCCCCCTCCCGGAGTCACGTAACCAGCGAGGCAAGCCACTTTCAGGCGAGCAGCAACAAATGCGTAATGCCCGCTGTACTCACTAGACGATAGACGAACCTGCAAAGAGTAGCCTCACAGTCTGCTGGCGGTTCCCCGCGATGGCGTGAGAGCCTGAGGGTCGCAGTCCATTCATTCTTAGTTAGCTACTAAGTTCTTCGTCGCATGAGGGTTCTAGGAGAAGAGGGCTTACTTTTGTCGAGGGGTTCACTATCATAAGCTATGTCTAGTCGAGTCAAGCTCTATGAGGCAGCCAGGACAGAACACATCAGGCGCAGTGGCGTTCGACAACGACAACACAGCAAAGTAAAGTACAGCTTGTGTAACCAGCGGGCGGCATCTACAAAGATCACGCGAGGGGAAAGGGGTATGGAAATCGAAATCAACATTAAAGTAAAATTCATCTGGTATCTTGTGAGTAAAATCCTTCCAACGCCCGCCTCCCCCCCCCCAAAGCCCAAGACCCATTTACCACAGGTCTGGGATGTAGGGATGTAATTGTCGATGGTATAATATATAAACGCAACGCCGCTCCTTCCGTCCCCCAGGTCCAGGTCGTCAACCTTGGACGTGGAAGTTTTCGCCGAACATATCATCAGCGCGTCCAACGACGGGCTGATGGTTACTGGCTCTTGTCCCACGCGTTGGCCCTGGCCCTAAAAGTCCCAGCCCCCGGCTTCCGTCGCCGACTGCCGATGTTCAGCAGTTCCTGGCCCTTGGCAGCAAAGTGGCCATCCTCAAAGTGTTCGTGCCCGACAGTGATAAGCTTGAGAATGGTCCCGAAGCCAACGACAACAGAGGCCGTGCCGACCTTGACCATCGGCCCCAGCTCCGAGATCATGAGACAGCCGCCCATCTCGTCGTCAGAGTGCAGCGGCATTGTCTCGTAAACGTCGTGCCGGCCCGAGTGTGAAGCGACCCATATTTCCCACTTATCCAACTTCAAGCCGGGCCTGTCGTCTTGTCGGAAGCTGTAGATACGCCGGCGCAGGCCCTGGGTCGTGGGCGACGAGTCAGGACTGTACCGGGCGGGAAGGGGCTGATCACGGCGTACGCCAACGATGAAGCCACCTGACAGAGCCTCCCACGTGCCTGGGTTGTTGATACGCCTCTGTGACATGATCGTATCGCGCCACTTGCAACAGCTTCGACTTGCCGGGGCACTTGAGTCGCGGAAGCAAATGGTATCGCCGTCTTCCTTGGGTGAATAGGTCTGGATGACGCAATCACCGGTGTTGTTGTCGTTGTACGCAAGGCCGAACGAGATGAGCCCGACAGATCCGCATTGTGGTTTCCTTCGAGCTGAGTGGAAAGCTCGTAGCGTCTGGGGTTGAATGGGACCTGTCTCGAATACGTGCAGAAGCCGATACGTCTTGCCGTCGACTAGGTCAACCGAGTGCTGTCGTGCCACGAGGAAACAGTCCAGACCTGGAAGTGGTACGACCTGAGAAGCATCTCGGTCCTCGAGCGAGTGCATGTCAAGGCTCACGGAAGTCCAACCTTGGTCTTGTTGTTTGGCCACATGTATGCAGCCCTTTTTAGATGCCGTCAAAACAGAAAGAGGAGAGCCGCGATCAGACATGGCTTTTCCGAGTTAGTAAATCTTATGCTGAATCAAGTAATACCAAGACTTACATGATTGGGTGAGAGGCTTGACGGAGACCAAGGGGCTCCTACAGATAGCGAAATCATTCACCGTATGAGTTGGGAGTGCAAGCTCCATCATGGTGCCGTTGCGGCGAACCACGAATAAGGAGGGTAAAGAATTGGTTGTGGCAGGACCGAAAAAGAAGGCTTGGAGTTTGTGGCCTTGAAGGTCGACGGGAAGCGAAGGACCCCATCTTTTCTCTGTCAGATGCCAGAGATGAGCTTTTGAAGGCGACAAAAGGGCCAACCAACAACATTCATCATTGATAGCCATGGCCGAGACAGGGAAGAGGCGATCTGGGGCCTCGGAAAATTCGCCCAGTGCATACTGCCCCTGTCCAGCCCGAACATCCCACACGCGGATCGAGCGGTCAAGCCCGACGGATACAATATGGCCGTCGACTGAAGCAGCCATCAGGACAATATCGAGGGTATGCCCCTTTGACAGGGATGTAACTGACGTCAGCGGCTCATTGTCGAAGTCATGTCCCGACTTGAATTCTGCATCCTCTTTCCACAAAAGATAGCTCATAAACAAGCGGACGGCTGCGAGGACGAGTATGACAGTCACCACGAAGCGAACAAGGTGATGATCAATGAAGTCGTACAATGCTGGCAGTAAAGGTCGCTCAGGATGTTGAGGTGTTCGATCGGCCCCTTTCAGTACAAAAACGAGCGGATCATATACCTGGGCGACATAGCTGTGCGCCCATGGTTTGATGACGCTGATGACCTCCCGAGCGGTTTCGTGATCTTGAAGACGAAGCCAGGAGGTTGGACTTCTGGCCTGATGTATATCCACCAACAAGGACTCTTTCTGATGAGTCAAGCTCGATTTGGTGTCTGACAGGCGGAACAGGCCACCAAGCACGCGGAGGATTGTCTGGTTCTCGAAGAAATGCCACTGAGCAGCCAGTACGAAGCCGACCATGATAATGGTGCCGGCAATGCGTGTGGACATGGCAATTTTCCCCTGCAGCAGTGCGTCGGTCCAGCTGGCACGTGCGGCAGACTCGCTCGGGCGTCGAGTGACCCTGGATGATGCTTTGTCTAGCGCCTCGCTGAGCTCTGTGCGCCTTACATCTACGCCCAGGACCGACAGGAAGAATGTTGACAGGTAGAAGAAGTCAAAGACGATGGCAACGGCGGCAAAAGTGCAAAAGGCAGAGACACCCGGCGAAACAACCTTGGAGAGCGCCCACAGAATCAGCACATTTTGCAGAGAGCTCGCGAGGGCGATGGGAGCCGTGTCGCCAAAGGCGTGTCCGATGCGACTGCTAGTGCTGTGTTCTGAGGGTGTTGCAATAACGGCATTGATGAGTCGAAAGATATTTTCAAGACTCATTGAAAGCACAACAACGGGATAGGCGGCCTGCGGAATTCTGGACAGGTCAATCTTGAAGACGGCGCAGACGGGTGAAGCTCGACAGGATAGACAGCATGATCCTGCGTCATGACGGTCACAATCAGGCCCAGTCTTGGGACTTGACGGCCCTCAGCTTGGACATGCTCACGAAGAAATAGAGCATTGACAAGCCATAGGCCAGGGCCAGAACGATGGTGTCATGGATGGACATGGGCTGAAACTGAAACTCGTAAAGCTGATTCGACATGCTGCTGCCGTCGGCGGGGGTAGGCTGTCCATTTGTCTGCCATTTGTGTCGCCAAAGCAGCGGCTTTTCCGCTCCCACTGGCGACCAACGGGCGAATCGCGCAAGTGGATGAGGGTGATGACGAGTGCATCAGCGGCCAGCAACCTCCGGTCTTCGAAATGCTTGCCACTGAAAACGATGGAGTGCCGGAGCGTGGTGTTGACGGAGGTAGGCTGGCTCTTGCGCTCGTTGACGGTGGATATGATGTCCGTGTCTGAGCTGATACGCTCAGGTGAGCCGTACCAGTACTGCAGGGGTGAGTGGAAGAACCAAGACTGGTTTGTCAATCCGTTGATGACATGGAAAGCGTCACGGTCATTGGGTGTCATGTCGAGGCTATGATCTCGCACTTCGATGGCAGGTTGGCCGGGGCGGCGGGGATCGAAGTTCTCTGTCGGGCCTAAAAGTTCATCCTGCAGTTGTAGGGCGCCTAGCAGGACTTCGCGGTCGAGGGCCTGCATGTAGCTCCCGTGGACCCAGACGGAGCGCATCACGACGTCGGGCTCGACGGCGGCTTTCTCGATGGGCTGGGCCAGCGTCCAGACATGGTGCGGGAGATTGGAGGCGCCATTTGTAAAATCGGTGGTATAGAGGAAAGGGAAGGGATAAATCAGAACAGCGGCGACGGCGGTGGAGATGAGAAGTGTGGTGATGACGTGACGAGTTGCATAGGCGCCGTACCACGCAAAGGCTCGGCGTAGAGGATGGGAAGGTGTGAGGACGGGAGCTTCGGTCGTTCTGGAGATCGCCACTGGGGTCAGCATACGCCCTCGATCGTGGAGAGGGGTAGAGCAGGTGGGACGACATACCCTCGAAGGGGATAAAGGAGATACCAGATCATCTGCGGCGAGACTTGCGATGGCAAGCGAGCAGGTCTGTGGGTCAGTCGAGGGGTAGGCGTAGCCTTGTTATCATGTGTTGTCGTCCATGGGGTAGGACGGGAGGAGATGCGGTCTTCGGGTATGGGAGAAAGAGCTGTGAGGTCAATCGGAAGCAGCTGTTCAGGCGTGGACCGAAGCAAGTCACGGGTGGATGACTCGAAGGACGGAGGCTTCCATGGGGGACGGTCTTGTTGCTTCTCTCTGGCCTGTGAACTCGTTGGGGTGGAGTCGAGAGGGACGGGTTCGGCTCGGGGAAGGTGGCACTTGGTCGGCGGGCGGGAAGGTATTTCGTGGGCGGAGATCTGAATAATGCAAAGACAGATAGCGTGGGCGTAGTCTGAGACAGAGAGGACGTGTGGTGTCGAATGAGAAAGTCGCTAGCAGAATGACGACGGTGTGGCGGCCAAATGCAGACGAATATTGGCGACAAGATGGCGACGTCAATCGACACGACACAAGACGTTGCGCGTTGCGTCCTAGGCTCGGATCCGGGACACAAACTCGACGCGGATGTTTGGGGGGCAATGGAGGATGGTGGGCAATCGGCAGGTTCGTATCGTCCCAAAAGGGGAGGAGGCATCAAGATATCGAAGCTAACCCAGTGTGCCTACGGTAAGGCGAGGTTAGAGTCGAACGAAGGGATGTGGATGTCGTGGTGGAACCTTGACTGGTTCTGAGAGGAACACAGCTCAAGGTGGTGTGGTGGCCTGTCCCAAGTGCCAGTCGAACGAGCGAGTGCAGGGCTCTCTCAGTGGTCGCATCAGTGGGATGATCGCCGAGGGGGGAGAAGAGGAGGGGGGGGGCCTGGGTGGCGCGGTGGTCTGGGCCGCCCACCTACCTTGCGTTACCTAGACCGAGGGTCTAGAGTCGCCTGAACAGCGTCCTATCTTCGCTTGGCCCTGCTTTGGATCTGCTTAGATCTCCGCTGCCCTCTGCTTAGAACCTGCCAAGCGTCGATTGATCATCCGTCTGATGCATCTCTGGCAGCCCAACCTCGAAACGACTTGCAAAGGGGCCTAAAAACCTAGCAAGATTCCGCTAGGCAGCTCGGCACGCACTTCTCCAGTCAGTGAAACATGTCGAGACACTGTCCCATAGGTAGTTTGTTGGGGCTGTGCCCCTGACGTCTCCTCTCCCACTCTCCTATCGAGTTGCCTGTCGCCGGGGCCACAATCGAGACTCGAAAGGGCTTCGGGGGGGGGGTGTTGGACAGCCAAAGGTCGCGAGGGCTGTGATTTGCAGCTTCCCTTCGTTGGTCGTGAGAGGCGTGTCAATTCTCTCCTTCGCTTGAAGGACTCGATTTTGTCTCGCGTCGATGTGTGCCTAGTGTCGAGGGGCCTCTCAATCAAGCACCCAAACACACGAGACGACTGCTGCGCAAGAACCAATGGAAGCCTTGCCCGTCATGTTTGCTGCGCAAATCGTGGCTTGGCTGTTCCTTTTCAAGGAGGGGATGGACCCTGTGGTGGACGTTTCGATTGGGGTGGTGCCTCCATGTCCAGGACTCGGCGGTCGGAGTTCGCTGATGTCTCCTTTGCACGCTATCTCTCAAGCAACAAGTGAGAGCTCGAAAACACAGAGGTCGGCGGCTCCAGGGAGCGGAGGATCGCAGCGACCCGATGGACGCCTTGTCAAAAATGTGGGAGGGACGGGTTCGTTATATGTTCCCTGGTCTCCCGAACACGGCCATCTAATCAAGATTGCCACGTTTCGATCAGCGCTTTTTCTGAATGGCATCTGCACTCACGTACGGGATGCCACATGGTCCAGGACCCAATTCTGGCTTCTCGTGAAATGGCATGTCTTCGAGCATCATCATAATTCAGCTGAGCCCGCTCAGAAATTCAGGCCATTTTCCCACAGAGTGCCATAGTCTGATTGGTGGACCAGCGTTTCCTTAAGTACTTCCATCTACGTC